CCACATGCTTCCTCTGCACTACAAGTTGTGCCCATGAGCTGCCACATGCTTTGGGAGCTGCAGCCAAAAAGGATGTAAGAAACCGTACCTGTAACATAACGGTTGGGAAAAGAGAGGAAAAGGAGGGAATAAATAGCAGAGAACTATAAAGATATAGTTCACAGAAATGAAGATGCAGCAAACAAATCCATCTGGAAGCCTTTGATTACACAGTGCCATTCCTCTCTCACTTTATCAGAAATGAAGGGGAGACTGATGGAGGATTTTAAAACTCCGAATTGCACAGATGTAAACATGCAGTGCATCCTCTCTCTCAGGGGAACTTGACATCCACAAGGATGTCACCTAAAACCAAGACCACCAGTAAATGAAAGTTACCTCTGCAGGTAACACCTGTTCCAAAACATCACTGGTCTTCCAGGTCCATCCTCACTTCCATCCCTCAAACCCCCTGCTATAAAACACCACCAGTGTAACCATCTTGTCCTCTTTTCTCAAACACGCCTGTCTGTATTTTTCTTCCACATCATCCCTCTCCCTCCCATACAACTGCTAGCCCTGTGACAGTACTGTCACTGCTAGGAGCAATTCCTAAGCTTGGTACCACATTTCCAAGACCTCAGGACTAAAGCCTATCAAAGCTTACTTTGGCTGAACTTCTGACCTGCCTGCAACTGTTCCTTGATTTAGCTGTGACAGCAATTTCTCTAATTAACCAGGTGCCTATGCCTAATTGGTTCTACTTTTGTTTATCTGGGCACGCTGCAACCATAGTTTCAAACAGAATCAGTGACAAATAGTCACTGCACAGAATGAGATATTTACAAGTCCACAACAATAATGTAGTGTAGAGAAATACAGGCCTGGTATGGGAGCACTGGCCTTGAGAAAGGAAGAGACAGAACACAGCAGGGCACAGGCATAGATGATAAACAGAGATGGCCTCTACAGACTTGGCACAGGACACCCCACAACTTGAGAGATGCTGGCTAAAAGAAATGCAGACCTGAAGAAAATTTGTTTTAGGGGTAATAAACAAGAAAGAAATAGTATTCAATACACAGTGCCTTTCTCTTATTTGGATGTACTGTGGAGGTACCAATGGAGGTAGCTTCATGGAATAATCAGTGAAGAGCAAAGTCACATTAACAAGCATATAAAAATGATCTCAAGTGGATCCTAGAGCGAGGAAGATGAAACCATAACCATGAGCAATCACACGCACCCAGTGAAGGACACCTGATGCTGACAGCTCTCTGCAGCAGCTCACCACCACCACCAGGATGAAACCACTGACCTTAGGACTTGGCAACAGGGAGCATAATTACTGTAACTGCACTATTATTCCTTCTTTTTTGCAACATTAAGATCTGATGTAATAATAATTAGGCTCTCAAGATTTTAACTATTCTAACAAGAAATTTTTGACCTTTCCTTTAAGGTATGCTTCCATTTTTAGACACAAACGACATTTTGTGTGTAGCACACGAGAGAGGCCTGTGCTCAGTAATTTACAAAAATATGTGCTGAGATACACCGAGGGAATGAAGTATCCAGCAGGCACCAAGACTCTCAAAGTGCTCCCTGCACACCAGCAGCTAACCCTGAAACAGCCCCAAGAACCAGAGTTTTTATACCTGAAGGCTCTTTCACGCATCTGGGATCTACCACACTGCGTACCAAGATGAACACTAGGTCTTCTTTCCTTTAGAGCACAGATATCCCACCCTTCCCTCTTCACACTCAACTCACCTCCTCACCAGAGCTGCTCCCAAGATATTCCTGTGAAATACAGCCCGTGAAACAAGTTGATAATGACACTAAAAAGTAACACACATGGCATGGCAAAAGGCATCAGGAAAAACAGCCAGATGAGGAAAATACCTCACTGAGAAAATACTCATTAGTCAGAAAGGATCGGCAAAACCAAAACAGTTTATACCCTAATCTGAAACAAAAAGTAACAGCCTTAAGTAAGGATCAGTACATGCCTAAGCAATAAGAAGTTCTTAGAAGTGAAATAGTATTTTGTGACACAGCTGTCATGGGGAAAACTTCCAGAGGAGAAACACTTAATGGCTCAAGGAAAAAAGGTTGTAGTTTCTAGTTCATTCACATTTCAAGACATCAGTTTTCATTTAAGTACCCGTCACTATTAAAAACTAAAAACACTCTTTAAACTGATTGTTTCTTTGTATTGTTACTTTCTAGTGACAAGTAAAAATACATTCCCTCCTGCTAGTGTATATATACACAATGTCATTCGGTCAGCATTCCATATGGTTAATACAGCTGCCTTTATAGGAAACTCTTCCACACAAAAAAGTTCACAGATGGGTATTGTCCACGACGATATGAACATAACGACAGAGGCCACTCTCTTATCCTCCAATCACTAAAACATCCACCATTTGCATTTATTAAGCAAGAAGATGAAACATGTAGATATCACTGTCACAGCACGATCTATAGCACCAACTCCCAGTAAGAGATAAAAAATAATTAAGAAACCCACACTTGAATCACCTCAAGTGCACTAAGCAGCTATTTTTCAGCTGGAAATCGAGCGGCCTGTCCCTTCACGGACAAACACACGCACGGCCGGGCCGAGCCGGGCCTGGCGCGCCCCGCCTGCGATGAGGCCGCGAGCCCCGGCCGGGCCCGGCGCCTGACTCAGCGCCGTGTGGGCCGTGTCACGCCGCCGCGGGCGTCCCGGCCCGGGGGTCTCTGCGGCGGGACGGGTAAGTGGGAGGGGGTTTCCCCGTATCCCTCACCTCTCCTCGCTCCGGTTCTTCTGTTTCTTGCCCATGGCGGCGGCACCGGCGCGCAACCCCTCAGCGCTGACCGCGCGCCGCCCCGCGCGCCGCCCCGCGCATATGGCACCGCCGCGCGCCGCGCACGCGCCCGCCCCGCCCCCGGTCCCGGTCCCGGCCCCGCCCCCGCCGCGGGCCTCCGCTTGCGAGCGCCCCCTGCCGGTCGGCGGGGGAACGGGCGCGGCCCCCCATGCGTTCGGGCGCTCCAGAGACCGAGCGGCTCCGTGAAACCGGCTTTGTTCGCCTCCGTTTGCATCTCGGACAGCCCCCGGAAAATGTATAAGTGACGCCCCGAATCTTGTCGTTTCCCTCCACGTCTTCAGGCAGCCCCGAAAAATGTCTAAATATTTCCCTCCTGCCCTCCTTTCTTCCCAGGGGCCGCAGGACTTCCCGGCACGACTGTGGCCCGTTTCTCCATGAAACCTGACTAGTAGTCAAAATAAACGCGTTTGAAAAGGTTTTACCTGGAGACAAATGGGACAGCTAAGCTAAAGTGGGGGAATGGAGAGGCTAAGGGGGAAGTTTTTAAGGAGCAGGGCAGCAGTACAGTGACCAGGAAGTAATTTTGCTGCGGGACGTGCACAGGACACCGCCCCGAGCCCTTCACGGGGCTCCGCTACTCCATCCCCAGCACCTCCCCGGCTACCATGTAGGCGAAGTGTAACCAGAACCGTACCACCCTGGGGTGACTGGCCTTTTCCTAACCGGGGCGCCTAGGAGGCAGCACTGGGTCTACGGCAATGACCTAATGGAGCTTCAGGAACGGGAGACATTCAAAGTACGGCAATTCTTTGACTTTCCCGGATTTTCTCAGTGCACAAAGCTTTCACTCCCCCTGCCCTCCAAGGAGCCCAGCGAGCACGGACGGAGCTGCCCTCTCTCACAGGAAAGCCCGCGTCCTGCTGCTGCGGGGCAGGAGGAGGTGGTCGAGGTTCAGAGAGACAGTAAAGCAAGGCAGCAAGCACCGGAGCGGAGGGACTCCCAGGTGCGACCTCACCTTCTTGTGGCCACCTTCCTCCGGAACAAAGCAAGATGGAGCAGAAATCACAATGTTCACAAGCGGCACAGACATCATTTTATGTATTTATTTAATAGGTTTAAAAGGAGCTGCACGTGTTCCGTTGTTGTCATCACAAGGCCCACTGTTCTCTACACCTTTCAGCCTCAGGATCACCACCTCCATACGGTTTCGCTCCCTAGCACGCTGACTTCTTACTTCCCTCTGCCTTTATACAGCTGTAGCTCCTTATCAGTCTTTCCCACCCAAGCCCAGCTGACTGCAGATAAGACCGAGTTTATCTTCCCACCACGCCTTCTCCGCGAGAGCACTTCGATACCGGGAAGCCAGATTTCCAAGAAATAAGAAAGCAGAACACGTGTGTTGGATTTTGTTTGGTTTTTACTTTTTTTGTTTGTTTGTTTGTTCCTTTTGCTTGCTTTAAAAATAAACAAAAAACAACAACATGCTTTAATATCCCATTACTTATATCAGCGGATCTTCCACCGCACTTAAGAGGAAGAAGCAAAGAGACAGCGAGCCGCAGCTGCTGCATCACAGCCCGGTTCTCGGCGAGCCCGCCGGAGCTGCACGGCTCCCGAAGCGTGACTTACCTCACGCCATCGCTCCGGGACCCGGCCCCGCCGCTCCCGACCGCCACACCCCCGCCGGGGCCGGCCTCGGCCTCACGCCCAGCCCCGAGCAGGAATCTCCCAAAGAGCAGCGGAGGCGGCGGGGGCTGCCACTATCCCCTCCGCAGCCGCCAGAGCCGCCTACGAGACGGGAAACAGACCTGGAAGCAGAGGGCGTGTTCTGCCCCGCTCCTCTCGGCCGAGCCCCGCCCCTCGCAGGCACGGCGCGATAGGAAACCGCGGCGCTCCAGCAGGCGGGTGCTGGCGGAGGCGGGGACGGCTCGGGGCGGAGCTGCGACGGCGAAGTGGGTGGGGCGGCCGCCTGAGGCGGGCTCCTAGTCCGCGGCTCCCTCCCGCAGGTGCGGCCTACACACGCACGCACGCACGGACGCACGCACGCACGCACGCACCCGGCACGGGGCGCGCGCGCCCGCGGGCCCGCAGCCAGTCAGCGCGCCGGGGGTAGTTCCGCGGGTGCGCGCGCGGCCTCCCGCGGGGACGCGCGCCCGCTTTCCCGGCCAATCATCGCGCCTGGGGGGCGTTCCACGCGCGCGCGGTCCGCCCCGCGCTGACTCTCGCGATAGCGGCGGAGGGGCGCGGCCGGCGCGTGAGGAAGCGGAGGGTGAGCGGCGGGTGCCGGGACCGGCTCGGGGTTGGGGTTGCGGCTGCGGCCGCGGGCGGCGACACCAGCAGCACCGCGCCTGGACAAGGGCGGGCGGTGCGGCGCCCCTGGAAAGCCCGTCTTGAGCCGGGTGGGTGGGTTGTCTGTGGCGTTGTGTGTAGCGACTCCGCGGAGGGAGGCGCGCGGCGCCTGCGCAGTGTTTCCCCCGTGTACCGCCTCCCTCGTCCGGGACCCCGGCGCCCCTTCTCGGCCGAACGCGTCCCCGCCGGTGGTGCCGAGGCTCCCGGCTGTGTAGAAAAAGCTTCTTGGCCCGCGGGGTTTGGCGACTTGGGAGCCGGGAGACTGCTGGGCAGCTCGGATTGCAGTTGGGACTGGCGGGGGTTGGTCCTGTTTTCCTGTTGGTTCGGAGGACGAGCCTCCCCTTGCCCCAGCTGAGCAGGGTCTCTCTGTGGCCTGGGGGACCTGGTGGTCTCTGATTCTCGCCGGCAAGGTTCATGTTCCCTCTGGAAACTCAAGGAAGGGGGAGGGCAAACAGACTGTGGTTAGCAGCTTTGGGAAGAGGGAGTGTGGCGGTGACACGTGTGGCAGCGGGCTGGGCACTGCTGGTGCTGCGGTACGCATCGACTGCAGCCGTCATCTGGGTACTTTTCCCGTCGTCACTTAAAATGTTTCTCTTGCCTGCGTATGCAAGGTGTTGACAGAGCCACTGCCGCTGGCAGTTCGCCTGCTTTGAAATACGGCCAAGAGAGTACCCTGGAACCCAAATTCAGTACGTCAGATCCGTGGTCAGAAGGTTGAGAGTCTGAGTAGGGTGACTGTGCATTGTCACTGTTTCAAAACTCTCAGTCACTGCACTGAAAATTTTCTGCAGTGTAAGTTTATTGGGGGGAGCAGTCGATTGTGTTGTCACAACTCTTCATGTACTCTCTTTAGTGTTTTGTGTCTTTCTATGTGTTTGGGCAGGGAGAACTTTACAGAAAATTATTTTGTCTGTATTTCTTCACACAGCAATTAGGTAGTGGCTTTTAAATCCTCTTGCTGGCTGCCATAGGGTGCTGTTTGCAATAACAATTTCCTGGAACTAATTAAAACAGCGTATTGGCCTAGAGTATTTGCAGTTGAGCACCTTGTCTTTCTTGTAGCTGAGGAGTGTTAATTCAGATTTAAATATGTTAATGTGTCTGAGGGACTTGAAGTAATTGCATTTAAACTGCTGCCACAAACTTACATACTGAGTCTTGCTTAGACTTATTCTGAGACATACATCCTCCCAGCAGCTTGAAGCTTTCCAGCTGAATCTTTTTGTTTCAGAATATTTGTTAAAGTAGGTACATCTGGCTCAAGATGAGCATCCTTTTGGAACTGGTGAATTTTTCTTCTTTATATTAACAAGCAGTTTTAGGTTCCTGTGTGCTTTCAGTAGCTGCCTTTGGGGCTGAAGTAATAGGACTTGACTTGTATCTTTACCATCTATATTCACCATGAAAGTATTTTCCAAAGTGGGTTGCAGCAAAGAACTACCTGCTAACTACTCCTGTCTTCAAATAGCAGAGCACTTTGTTTTTCTGTAGTGTGAACTGTAAGCAAAGAGAGATCAGAGTTTTAATTAAGTGTTTGTGTAAATGTTAACTCCTTGTATCACTGTTTCCACAGCTCTGAAGAGACCACTTTCCAGCTAAAGATGGCTGCTGATACCTCTGTTGATATCCTTCAAAAAGTTCTGGAGAATGAAATACTTCAGACCACCAAGGTTGTGGAAGAACATCTGGATGCTGAAATACAGAAGCTGGACCAAATGGATGAAGATGAATTGGAACGCCTTAAACAGAGGAGGCTTGAGGCACTAAAAAAGAGCCAGCAGCAGAAACAAGTAATTTCTGTAGTACAGACTCTTCATATGTAGAGACTAGTAACAGACTTTTTGAAAACCCTTGGGAAATTGTATATGTGAACTGTTCTGGGGTTGTCTGGTTGGTTTTGTGGATTTTTCCCTCTTTCTCTCCTTTCTATGCTTATTAATTTAAAATTATCCAGGCAAGTAAGTGTCTGTCCATGTGTGCGTGCTTTGTGTTTTAACAGGAGGAGAGAAGCACCTCTGTGATTGTTACAATAAGGGTAGGATAACAAGTCTCATACAGAGATTTGAGTGTGTCCTTGTTCACTGAACATTGCTATTTGGAAACACAAGTCTTTTGGGCAACCTAGCCATAAGGCTTTAGGCTCCTTTTGAAGTGTCTTTCTTCTGAAGTTTCTGGATTGTTACTAGAAATTGATTGTGGTGTAGGGAAAGTGACTTGGCTGAAAGGAGATGCCTGGCTGTGATGAAGTCCTTAAAAGCTGATGCCAGACTTGGAAATTGAAAATGTCATGGCATGGCTGGGATGCTGGGGGACAGGCAGCACCAGTAGCTTTGGCTCTGTAAACACGGAAGTGGAGAAAGTGGCACACTATTTGCTTGTCTTCAGAAGTTGAATTTATATTTGATTCTAGTGTTTTCCTTTTTCAGAAGTCATAACTTTATTCACATGTCCTTGGATGTGAATATGTGATAGATCTCATGCAAAAAGATTTTCATGTCATTTGGTCTTAAGTCACTGTTCTCACACACTTTCAAATGCAAATGTGAAGTAGGATACTGCTCAGTAAAAGGAGTTTGCTGTCACACTATTTTGGAATAAATTTGTGGAGAGGGAAATTAATGCATAATCACTGTTGAGGGATAAGTGAGTTCTTGATTTGCAGCATGATGACTTCTTCATATGCTCATACTTCCATGAATTTTTAATGTATACAGTATTCAGGAGATTCTTTGTTCTATCTTAATTTAGCTTACAGGATATCTTTGGTTTGCTTGGAAACCTTTTGTTTTTTCTTTCACCTTCGTAAGACAAAACTGTAAGATTAAGAACAGTGATTTATCTATATTTTTTTCCCCCATTCAGAATATTTTTTGTCAAATTTTGTCATACTGCACTACTTCTAATAATTTGGATTAGTCTGTTTAAATACACTGCAATTAACTTTTAATAGTGTGGAGGCTGTTTTTTTCTTAAGAAGGAGGATTTTTTTCTTAAGTGTGTTTGTCAAAAATGTGGAGGATTAGCTTTTTGGAAACTGTATTTGCACACTTAATCAGACAGTTTTTGAAGTTACCTCTAAATTTTAGCTTTGGCATTTTATTTCTCCATTGATGTTATGACTAATGGTGCACATGTGTTTTCTGAACGATTTTTTGTGAACCTGGTTCATGTTAAGATCCCATCAGTGTATATTTGATAGGTAAACATCATCTATTGCACTTGTGTTAGTAGGCTTTTTTTCTCACTGATTTTTTTCATAGAGTAAAAAATTAAAATAAATGTATTTGACTAAGTTTAAGATGAGTTTTTTGAGTGTACAAAAACATTTTCAAATGCTAAGAGTTTTTGTTGAATTCTTTGAACTAGTCTTGTCTTAACTGAGAGGCTGCATTGTAGAATTTTGTGTAGCTCTGTATAAGATTTGTATTTCCAAATAAGCTAAGTGGCCTTATCTGTGTATTTTCAAAATAAAACGAAAGGGGAAGAAGTAATTTGTTTCTCCACTACTGCATGAAGTGAGTTTTCACTGCAGGTCCCCTTTTCCATTTTCTAAAAGCTGTAGAGTTTGCACAATAGATAGACTAACAACCTCCGTACTAATTATTTGCTTTTATGTTTTCCAAAAGGAGTGGCTTTCAAAAGGACATGGAGAATACAGAGAAATCCCAAGCGAGAGAGACTTTTTCCAGGAAGTCAAAGAAAGTAAAAATGTGGTTTGCCATTTCTATAGAGATACAACGTTCAGGTATAGTAAATAAGCTGTGCTGAAGAAACCTTTTGTTTAAAGATGTCTACAAAAACAGATGTGTTTTTTTTTTTCTTTTAAATCCCACTCATGAACAGGCATTTTTAGAAGGATTCATGTTGCTTCATTATAAATCTCAGTCACTTTTCAAGACATTTGCTTTTTTAAAATGTATTTTTTCACTACAGTTGATCTGAACATGATTTGACAACAATTAATACTCTTCTATATGGATAGTTGATTAGAACATAGATGTATAACCTCTTTGGCAGTATTTGAGAGGCTGCTGTGTTTCATTATTGATTTAGTTTGAGACAGCCAGGTCTGTAAATGTAGACCATACAAGAGCAGCATTTCAAAAAGACAGCTCTATTCCATCTATTATTCTAGAAAGAGTTATTCTCTTTAACAGAAAAAAAAATATAACCAAAATCTTGTCTAGGCATCTTGAGAATTTAACCTTTTACTTTGGAATGGAAGGATCAGTTGCAGCTGCTTTCCCTTTGTGCCTGTGCTTTTGTGATTCTGTTTTTAGAGTATGAGACACCTAGATCTGAGAATACGTGCTGACTCAGAATAGGAACGCAAACTAAGATGTCCCACTTCCTTGGGAGAATTTCAGAAGTTCCGGGTTGTAAGCTGTTCATCACTGTGTCTCTCTCAATCAATGTGTTCTGTCACAACACAGCTACAAAGTAGGGTAGTTTATTGAAGGAGGAGCCAGCCAGTTGTCCTGGTTTTGGTTCTTTTTGGTTTTTTTCCCCCCCGAAGATGTTATGTTCTCCCTAGCTTATAGAAGCAGCCTCCATGTGAGAAATTGAAAGAGGTCAGTGGGGATTTTGCAGTGAGGTATCTGTGTCCTACATTTCCCAAGTGTTTAAAGCAGTTCTTTTTGGCTAGCTTTTACTCAAGAGTGAAAGGCTGTCACTGCAAATATAGTAGTAGCTTAGGGTAGGTTTGGGTTCTTGTTTCCTGAATCAGTGAGGTCTGTAGGCTCAGACAGGAAAGAAGGAACTTTGAGAAAGTGTTTTTTAACGTGTGTCATGCTGACAAACAGGTTGAAGCTCTTGTGTTTGGTTTACCAACCACTGTATCAAGCTGCTTTCATCTTTGTCAGTCCAGCTTTTTGATCTGTCCAGCTCTCCTCTTGAGTTTAAGGACAGTCACATCACAGAGTTCATGCAGTTCTTGCCAAACCACTTAAAGACAACCCAGAAAGCTGAGATTGCAGGTGACAAGTCACAAATCTCTGTGATCAGACAAGTATTTTGAGCAGTTCACATCACTGTCCCATAGCTGAGAAACAGTAACTGTATGCTCACTCCTATTTCATGCCAATAGAGAAGCAGAGTATTTTTGCCTTTAGCACTACTGTGCAAAGCAGTCTGTGCAAATTGCTTTTTTTTTTTCCCACTTACCCTGAGTTGCTGTATCTCAGCTGTGAAGGTAGTGACTGCAAAAATCCAAAACACTGTAACCCATTGAGAGTACTTCTCTGAAGAAATCTTCTGTAGAGAAATTTTTCCAGTTGAGAGGCAGTGATGCTAGAGCTGGAACAAGAGAAAGAAATGTCATCAGTAAGTGCAGGCCTCAAGAAATGAGAGCAAGGCTTCCAGGTGTATGGAAAGTAATTAGGAAGAAATTAGAGAAAGGGATGGTATAATTGTACAGCAGAGGTGCTCCAGGCTGTTCCACTATTTGTCATTAAATCCAGCTCCCTCTGAAACATAGTTTATCTTGAAACTAAATTCTCAATTACAAAGGTCACATGTAAGTATTAACATGAGAGAATTAGCTCTTTATTGCTCCTTTTAAACTTTCTCTCAAACGCATATTCTTCAGCTTATTCATTTTAACACTATATATTTCGGGTTAATTTTTCCACAGGTGCCAAATAATGGACAAACATTTGACTGTATTGGCAAAAAAGCACATTGAGACAAAATTCTTGAAATTAAATGCTGAAAAATCTCCTTTCTTGTGCGAGAGACTGCGCATCAAAGTAATTCCCACTCTAGCACTAATAAAAGATGGAAAAACACAAGACTACATTGTGGGCTTTACTGACCTTGGTAATACTGATGACTTCACTACAGAAACCTTAGAATGGAGATTAGGCTGTGCAGACGTAATTAATTACAGGTAATTAAGTGTTTTGTGATTGTTTTCAGATAAAATACAAAGAGAATGAGCTTGCAGATGGGAGAATCTGAAAGGTTGTAACTTCAATGTGTTGTACACTATAAAAGACATATAAGAGTTTAATCTAGTTAATTAATCTGTGTGCTTCATCAAGGGAAAGAAGAGAATCTCTCTGGCAAAGTATTGAGACATTGTAATGAGCATTGAGTTGTTGTTTTTGTAGAGTAATAAAAATAAACCCAGTTCTTGTCACAAGGTGTATAGAGTCGCAGTGATGCTCTGAAATGGCTTCAGAATCGTGCATCTAATGTAACTCTATAGCATCTATAGATGCTTCATGTCACAGTTGGCAATGCAGTGAAGTCTGAGCATTTTTAATCCACTTCAGAGAAAACTCAGCAAGTCTTCCTTAAACTGCATCAGAGTCAGTATTACATACATTAATATACTTTATTCTTCAACAGTGCTGAAAATGGAAAATAATTTGAATAAGTGTAATTAATAAAGTGTAAGTGTAATAAGTGAATAAGTGTAAATAAATTAAGTAACAGTAAAATATAATCATTATAAATACCTTGCTAAAGAGTACAGAACAGAAGGCAGTAGACCATATCTGCCACCACAATAGGGCTAGCTTTACAGAAGAATTATTTACCAAAATTCTGCTTTCCTTTCCAATGTGGCTCAAACGTCATCTCTCTTTTTAGGTTAATTTTGCTATATTGTTTTGAATGTCTTTAGTGCTTTTGTAATTTTAAATTTCATTATCTGAATTTATTTAAATGTCTAATGAGCTAAAACTTTGGCAAATATTGTATCTTAAAGCTAAAGAAACTAGTACTCAATTTGGCTTAGTAACAGTTGAACTTTAGATGAAATGACTGAAATTTATAATTTTAAAACAACTAATTTTTTCCAGTTTAGTAAAAAAGCAAATATGCAGAGACAGCTTGAATGCATATTCTAGACAGCAACAGCCTTTTATGGGAAAAATCCTTCACTGGAGTTGTATCAAGCACCGCTGAATTTGCTAAACATTGATGCATTGGCTTATAGCAAAATTTTACTTCTACTTGACTCTCCTAGTACTGTGTATGGAGTGGGGGAATTTTGTTCTTCCTTCATTTTGGCAGACCCTGGCTTTGCAATGAGAGCCACATTTGCACACTGCTCTGAAAATAGTCTCTCTGGAGTTCCTGAAAATAGGCCTCTTCAGAGCTTAGAAATAGTTCTTTTCCTTCAACATGTGGGATAGCAGATGGTAAAAGGGTATTCTTTATTTTAAGGGAAAAACTCTTCAGGTCAGATTATTTGCCCAAAATCAGTATTCAAGTGGTATGTTGATGTATGTAATGAAACTGTGATCAGTGAACTGTATATTGAGGATTAATATCAGCAAAATAGCATTAACATTTTGTAAAGAACTACAATTTTCTAAATACACCTTTACAGCTAATTCCAGAATGTTGTAATTGTTGTAATTACTCACTCACTGAGTGATTGGATGTGCTGACACTTGGATGCAAACCCCTCACAGGTCGTGTGAACAAAAGCAGGGCACACCCTTTATTGAGCAGCCAGAGGGGATTCCCCTTCTTTCGCAGCCCTGCTGGAAGAGAAGCAGGTGCTCCAGCTTCATGTGAAAACCTGCTATTCCTAACAGGGAACACGGGTCCATTCCCATGGACACACATGCTGGTGAGAGAGCCCCTGCAGCATCATGGGGGCACTCTGAGGTTTGAGAGTGCCATAGTCCTGTAGATGTGCAGCTCTGTAGGGAAAATGCTCTGTCTGGCCTAGGCAGAGATAGCACTTCTGGCAAACCCCAGTTCTGGCTACAAAGTCCCCATGAGCAACATTTTAGCTTCTTTTGTACTGGTAGCTCCTCACCAGTTTTGAAAAGTCTCTCTGTAATTCCCTGGTTACGGTTTCATCTGACAAATGGTTGTCTTTAGCATGATCAGTATCCAGGAAAAGCCTTTTCAGACAGTTTTTCTCTACAGCTCCACTCACAGTGCTGTTTACTTTCACACTGCTGTCTTAACTCCAGTTATCTAGGCCATTTTGACCAGGATGTGCTATGCTAGCAACACCACAGTGCTGCTTAGGGTGGCTGTAGCAAATAGGCATTGTGTTCTCTTAGAATGTGTTTTTCTGGAGAAACAGGTCATTAGAGATGATGCTTACTGTCTGTATGAATATGGCTTTAATCAACTTGTCTTACCCTTTTTCTGTAGTGGAAACTTGATGGACCCACCTTTTCAAAGTCAAAAGAAATATGGAACAAGCTTTACAAAGGTGGACAAGAAGACCATCAGAGGAAAGATATATGATTCAGATTCTGATGATGACTAGAAGAGCCACTAAATATATTTGTAAATCATCTTTTGTTTATGCGTGGTACATTTCTAAGAATGTTTTTTATAAAGCTTACTGCTTTTCATTACATCTGCACATAATTCTCATTTTTCTATACAGTTTTATACAACTGAGTCATAGCAGAGAAAAGCTTAAGTATTTTTTTTTCCTCTTTTAGAAGTCATTTGTAATTAGAAAATCCTAGTCCTTTTAACTAAGCAACATGGCAAATGATGAACTTAAGCCCTTTGTCTTAAGTATAAGTTTATGAAATGTTTTGAAATAACTTAGAAACAGCTGTATGAAGTCAGACCGAAGGTCCCTCTGGCCCAGGATCCGGTCTCAGTGGCTGAAACGAGATGCACAAGGAAGAATGGAGACAGGGTGACCGGATAGCAATGCTTCCCCACAACCTACTTTAAGCAATCTGTAGCTTGGGGAATGCCCTATCTGGGAGCATTTGCTGCTTAAAATAATGGAGAAAAAAATCTCTTTAAATCCTTATAGTATCCAGGCATCCACATCATGTGACAAGGAGGCCATAGTTTAACTGGGCTGTGTGAGGAACTACTTCCTATTGTTTTCATAAAATCTGATGGGGGTTTTTTTCTGTTTTTCTTTATTAAAGGAGGTAACAGACACTTCTTAAAAAAATTGTTCTCCATCAGTTCCTCTTCCAGTTGTCTTTTAAAATTTATTATTGCTTACATTGTCAGTAAAGCACCACAAAATTATTAGTAAAGAAATTGTGCATTTTAACAAATAATTGCTTATCTTATGGTGCCATATCATGCCATTGAATAAATTAACTGCATTGCACTATAAGTTGTAAAAACACTCATAACTTCTGTGAATTCTGAAATAGATGGCCAAGAGAAATGCCCTTTTACCATCTATGAATGCTGCATGTCAGAGCTGATACAGCAGGTAATAGCAGCAAGCATATTGAAAACAGCCTTGTTCACGGTTTTGTATCATTCTGTGGTTGTGAATGTGTGGATTTTATAGCAGATGCTTTGTACAAGAGAGTAGAATAGAGAAAAGTATTTGGGAGAAACCTTGATTGTTAAGTTTAGATATAGTGCTGCATACTGTGTGCTGTTCTTCAGTAATGGACAGAATTTTTAAGAGAGATCTTCCTTGGACACAATGTAAAATTTCTGGCTAGGTGAATAGTTGATGAGTTTTCATTTAAAAAAAAAAATGTTTGCTTTGTGCTGAAGGACCCTTTTGAGGTGGTACTTTGAATCCAGTTGGTCCAAAAAGCAGTGAAGTGGGTGTAGCCAGTCTTGCTGCCTTGTGGTAGAGAACACTTGTGATTGGGCCAGCCCAGCAATATATCTCTTTAAGTTTAAAAAATTATATTTTATTTCTGTTCATGTACATTGAAATAAAATTATTTTAATTCTAATGTTGACTACTGCATCCTTTCAAAGAAGGAGATCTAGGTGCTGTGGTTTAATTTCTCTATTAATAAAGTCCATCAGAAAGTTTGTATGAGCCCTTTCTAGATTTCTGATAGGGAATATACTGTTCTGTCTTAACATACAAGATCACTTTGAGAACACAATCAGCTTAAGATGTACACAGCTGCCTGTTGATCTGTGAAAAGCATAAAGGAGGCTTGCTTCACGTTTAATCCCCTTTTTAATGCACAAACTCTTTAAATGCATTAGAAAGTGCTGCTTTTTTTCTTCTCCATCCAGTTGCATGAAATTCAGGAACCAATGTTCCAACAGTATTTTAACAAATGTCTTAGCAGGACTCATCACTGAGCCCTAATTGTGTTGAATAAGCTGTGGAAATATTACCTCTAATGTAGTTGCATGCTGTGTGGAAACACGTGGGCTTGTCAGGATTCCAGCACAGTGCGTTGTTGGAGGTTACTCAGTTCCACACGTGAATAGCCTCGTTACAAACAGTGCAAATCCTACTTGGAGTCTGTGGTTTCATGTCACTTTAAGCTGATGCTTTTTTTTTCTAGGTTAATCTTCATCCTTCCTGGGACCTCTTCCTTCATCGGGCTTGTTACATGACCACACATACCCTTGTGCTGATACAAGGAGTTTGCAGGAATGTGTGGCTTGGGTAGAATCAGACTCACAAGTGGGCTGGGTTCGCAAGGCACCCTAGAGATCATCTAGTTCCAGCCCCCCTGCCATGGACGTGGCTAACAAGGGAAGTTTTTACTTGTAGTTGTTCGTACTATAAGCTTATATTTATTTTGAAGTAGCAATCTCATAGATTTGCTCCTTCAAATCTTTAATTTCATGTCTGCTTTCTACATAGTCTGTCTTGAATTAACATTAAAATTGTTACTGAACAGTCCTCTTGGTTACACCTCCATCCTGGATATTACTTTGAGATGAACAATTCAAACCCAAAAATTTTGTTTTTGCTGAAACCTAGAAGTTCTTTTAAAAATGGGAAATTAATCTAGTTTGAGGGGTAAGAAAGTAATTAATCTTCTGGGGTAGAGTTTAATGATTTTGCTGTGCAGGTTAAATTAATGAATTGTCCATGATCATAAGACCTGGGACAGCAAGCTAGAAGTGTCACAATACAGAGAACACCAGCTTAAATAAATGTCAGCTGTACAGACTTGAAAAGCAGAAAGAAAGATTAACTTTGTCAACAGCAGTCTAGTGGCCGTATGGCTGACAGATGAGATGATGATGATTCGCAATATCCAGAAGGAATACAGGTTTTATGTGATTAATTGCTTACAGCAGATGGATGAGGTATGCGAGGACATGACTGACTAAGGTTCCTGAGCTTAGACCAATCACAAAATGGTACCTGGTCTGGTATGTGTCAGCCATGAAGGGTTATTAGACAACAAAGAGATGAGAAATATTCAGGTATAGCTTTGGAAGTGATGGGGCTAATGCCTGAACTCAGCATATAACTTTAATAATGATCAGTGCTTAAGTCTGTGCCTGATGCTTGGTATGAAATAATAAAAAAAAAAACATGAAGGCAATAATAATAACCAAACAGGATCTCAGTTGTTCAGCTCTTGATACTGAATTATGAGGCCTTCACTAGACAGTCCTTGATCAGTGATTGGTCCTGGGTTTTCCTGTATTTCTACTCAAGAAAGCTATCCTGAAGAGAAAGTGCTGAGTTGAGCTTTGGCATCTGAAAGTGTGAAGAAGTTTGGTCCCAGAAAGAGGCAGGATGAGAAACAAATTCTGGAGAGGGCAACAACTGAGTAGCTGCTTTCAGACCCCATTAGTAGGCTGGATTACCTGCAAGTGTCACAAGGGTGGAGGGAGGCAAATTCAAAACATGAATCGGAAGGTGAGAGTACTTGATGTTACAGTAGACTGCTTGATAACTCTTCTGAGGGGTACGTTGTTCCTGAGCCATGTTTAAAGGATAACTAGAGATGGGTTCCACACATTTGACACAAAAAAGGTCTGCTCTGATCTTTTATTCTTGTATCATTCTTGGGAGCCTTCAGCATTCAGCCACTCTAATATGATTGTGGTGATCCAAGGCATTGCAGTCTGCCAGATGCTCCTTGTTCCCTGTCCCTCTGCAGAGCACCATCTGTAGGATATGCTACAGGAGGGAACTTACTCTCATACCTTCTTCATCAATTTAAGGTAACACATCAAACTGGCTAAAACAATACAACAGACCCCAGAGATTCACCCAAAAATACCTTGTTCAAATTTGGTTAATTAATTTTAAGTGCATGTACTCTGAGAGATATTGGGTGCTTGTTGGTGGAAATGAAGTAGTTAGGAAGTTACATTTAGAAAGCTCATAAGGTGCATATTCTAAAGCTACTTTTTTGTTTTTTGATTAATTGTTACAGCCATGGCTTGAGCTGCCTAAAGTAAGCCAACACTGATCTAGTAGTCACATAGCTGTGTCAGCTCAGTGTTGAATCTGTGTTAATATAATTTGCATTTTGGAACACAGCCTGTTCAACCATCACCCACCTGGTGGTATGACTTCAACATGTGACTTATAGAAAAGGTTTAAAAATTAACTTACTTTCTTCACAAACCATGCAATCTCCGGTAACAATTGGCTTTTCTCAAGATGCCATTGTATGAAAATCAGGTGATTGTAATATACAGAACAACATTAATTAGCTTCCTAATCTACTTCCTCCTTGCTAATTATTTCTTTTGTTAGTCCACTGCCCTAGAAGAAAGCCTGGAATTGTTTCCTGTTTGTTTTCTAGAATTTAACAGTCCTCAATTCTTTGTATCATTAATTCAAGGCACACAGAAATACCCTTAATAGTTATCCTCAAAACAGAGAATGGTTTGGGTTGGAAGGGACCTTAAACATCATTTAGTTTCAAACCCAGTGGGCAGGGACATCTTCCATTAAATCAGGTTGCTCAAAGCCCTGTCCATTGTGGCCTTCAACATTTCCAGGGACGGGGCACCCACAATTTCTTTAGGCAACCTGTTTCAGCCTCTCACACAAAGATTTTCTTCCTTGTATCAAATCCAAACCTACCCTCTGTCCCTTTGAAGCCATTCCCCCTAATCCGATAGTGATAGTGTACATGCCCTTGTACAAAGTGCCTCCACAACTCTCTTGTTTGGCCCCATAGGTAGTGGAATGTGCTATAAGGTCTCCCCAGAGTATTTCCTTTTCCAGGCTGAACAATCCTAATTTTCTCAGCTTGTCTTTATAGGAGAGGCACATCAGCCCTCTGATCACTTGATCAGAGTGACCCTCCTGTGGACTTGCTCCAGCAGTTGCACATTCTTCTTGCTTTGGGAGCCCAGAGCTGAATGTGTTAATCGGGGTGGGATTTTATGAAAGTGTAGTGGAGGGGCAGAATCCCCTCCCTCAGCCTGCTGGCCACAACTGACTTTGGTGCAGCCCAGACACAGCTGCTTTTCTGGTCTGTGACTGCACATGGCTAGGTCACATTTGGCTTCTTGTCAACCAACACCCCCCAAGTCCTTCTCAGGGCTGATCTCAACCCATTCATCCCTCTGCCTGCATTTGTGCTTGGGATTGCCCCGACCCATGTGCAGGACCCTATCCTGGCTCAAACTATGAATTACTTGCTTTGAGTGTGTCCTTGGAGTTTTCCTTCCTAATTTGCCCTAAACTAGGACAGAGTGATAGATCTGTCTTTAAGATGGAATGGGAACAAGCTCTCATAGAATCCAATCCAGTGACCTTTTTGCTAGGACACCTTTCCTACAGTAAAATTAAAAACCTAATTTTAGAGAATAGAAGGAAAGTACTTGTTTTCCTACCTCACAAACACTTCTGGCCTTAGATATTTTATGTGAAGGCCAGAGAGATGCAGAGTGGGATGTTACTTCAATGCTCATCTGCATTCTTCAGAAAGGCAAGACAAAGGAAGAGATTGGGACCCTCAGCATTTGTTCACTTCTGAATACAGTGAAAACTGAAAGCTTCATGTATTACGAGTTTGAAGACTTTTGAAGATGTGTAGATGTGCTTAGGGACGTGGTTTAGTGGTGGAATTGGCAGTGTTGGGTTAATGGTTGGACTCAATGATCTTAGAAGTGTTTTCCAACCTAAATGATTCTGTGATTACTTCCAGGTACAACAGATGTAAAAAACAATGGAAATTTCATTATTAAACTGGGTGTGTCCCTTTAAAAGCTGGGAAGGACAACCATAGAGGATTTGTCTGAGATGATGCTACACATGCATCTTTAACTGGTCAGTTAGTGGTAGGTATCCAACCTACGTCAGCAATGATGGGCAGCTTCCCTATAAAGCAGTTACAAAGTCTGAGAATGCCTGATGTTACCTATAATTACATCTGAGACAAAAGGAACAACCTGAGAAATTCATCTGCCTGTTGATGTTATGAAACAAGTTGAAACTCACAATGGAGACAATAATTAATTCCAAGTAATTTTAGATGGTGTTCTCGCCACCCAGTGACACGTGATGCTAAAACCTGCAACCTGAAGAAGAATAACATGTGCAGTATGTAGTGCTTTTCAAAATTGTGCTCCATTTTGATCACTTCTCCATTAAGCGGAATGAAAAAACTTCCCTCTGCATGAGGGGGAAAAATATAAAGTGAAAATCTGTGAGTAGGAAAGAACTGTTGGTACTGAACCTTGGTGTGCTTTAGATCTCAGGAGTGGTCCCTTCTAATTTATGTAAGACAAAGAAAATGCTCTTGTGTCAGGTAACATTTTTTGTCCACTCTGCTCTCCCTTTACCTGAATGTAATCAACAGTGTCACTGACAGATCACAGAGAAAGCATGTCTGTGGTCACCAACTGCAGCTTAATGCCCTAACGCTAACCAGGATGCCCTAACGCTAACCAGGAACTCTTCCTGCTTCTTAAATTTAAGAAGATGCAGATACTATTTGATAAGTGAACTCCTCTTTCCTTGACTTTCCATCACCTCCCTCCCAGTCACACGCTGTGCTGACCAAATCCAGCACAAGGAGAATGGGTACTGACACTGTACTCCTAATGTAATTTTCCAAATTAAATCTATGATAAAAATTAAAAAGATGTGCTGTACTAGAGATAGATTCAGACCACTGTCATGAAGTGGCCCACCTACACTCAGTGCTCTGCACTTAAAGCCCCACAAAGACCTTTGAGCAGAAGATGGTGTTTTCTAACATCATGCAGTTCTCGTTAGATGGTGGTGGTGCCTTGGACAAATACACTGGCTGAGAGCCCTGCTCCTTTCGGGGTATATGAGCATGTTTCCATAGAGGGTGGTTGCTTTTGGTTCTTACTCTAAAAGGCAGGTGGAAAAATTTGTGTGGATAAAGAGGTTTTGACTGAGAAAAAGTCCCTAACACTGCAGAAAAAGTATCCTCTTAATTGTTAATTCCACTTACAGTGGAATTTGTGTGAATACAAGGAATCTGTCCCAGGGACCTAAGAGTTTATAACAGCACAGATAAAAAAAACTTTGTTCTTAAAACATAATATTATTCACTACTCAATGAGTACATTAGGAGTATTGCAATGCAGAATAGGCATTAAGAATTCATGTGACTACTGTAAAATGTAGAAAAATGTAATTACATGGTAACAAAGAGAAAAATATGTAGCAAAGACAAACAGTATTTAAATTCAAAACTTTATCTTAAGAACGGTCAGCAAGTGGACAACACATTAATATGTTAATACTAAATTTTCATAATCTATTTAAGAGAATACATCTCTTTCCTGTTTGTCCTTTTTCGTTCTGTAGAGGATAAATGAATGTATCTACTGGGTTTGCTGCCATCAAGCTGTGCACTATGAGCTTTTCCCAGATCATTTCTGGTTTTCCTTCCCTCCAGCATTTTATCAGTTGCTATGCCCTTTGAAAGGATTAAAGCACACTATACTGTTTCTATTTTCTAAGTGTTAAACCATGACAACACCACAAAGATGTGCACCTTACACTATATCAGACCTTACCTTCTGCTGTTCAAAATGTTAAAACCCAGAAAAAGGATTACATGATAGTCTAGTCTGAGATACCATAATGAGATATCAGGTTTGTACGTGAAGAATGATTGCCTAGCATTGTTGTAATCATTGGGAAGGTTTCAGTAGGAGTTTAATATTTAAGACCCACCTTAATCCTTACAAACCTCCTGTAACAATGCCTGGCTTTGAACATATTAATTAGTATCTGGCCAAAACAGTATTTCCTACCTGCCACATCAGTCCCAAAAGAGCAATGGGAGTAAGATGGATTTGTGATGCATTAAAGAATGAAGAGAAAGCTACCAGAAAAAAATCTTGGCCTTCCTAACCTCCATGCATGCTGGGCAGAGTTTAGGGAAGAGAAAAATGTGGCAAATAGAAGAACAGAATTGAAGGGTACTGGCCTCCCAAACTGTCTTTCCTCCTCCAAGTGTCTCAGATGTTTCAGATATGTGAAAAGTGTCTTGGCTGCAAAGTGCAAGTCTTCCAGAGCTCCTCTGTGTTTCCCCACTAACTTTCCCCACTGTTTATTTCTCCTAATTTCTGCTGCAACCTCCTGCCTCTCCATGTCTTAAACTCAGACCCTGTCTCTGCTTGCCTCTGCCTCTGCTCTGGAAGTGTCCATCCTGAATTAGATTTGTTGTAAGCAATGAAGCAGTGGGATGATTTTCCTTAATTGTCCTTGTTAAAATTCATATGGAAGTATGATACCTAAAAGCTTGCCTATCTGAAATCATTGAGGAAACAAGACAAAAACAATCCTTCCAGAGATATGTCCAGGTGCAAAGCAGAAGAGGACTACAACAGGGATCTGATTTTTTGCCTGGCCTCTGCCACTGATTCACTTCAATAATTTCTGCAAGTCTTTTACTGTGCATCAATGTCCTTATTGATGGAGTAAAACCAGTGTTTATTTCCTTTCACAGAGTTGTCCCGAGTCTGACTAACCACCACTTGTGCAAATCTTTGGATGAAAGAAATCATTGGAGTTCTAAGCTCTTAATATATATTAGTTATTGTACTTTAAAACAGTCATCTCACTAGGTAGGAATTAACATTCCAAAGCCCATAGGGTGGATACCTTTTCCTACATATATATATAAAAGTCATCAAGTGACCTGCCTCAGAGGAAGGACAACTGAATACAGGTGAGTCTGAATTCACTCATGGAATATTTATTTATAACAAGAAGCCTTGATTTGTTTTGATTTAGCATTTTGCCAATATTGTGATTGCTATGCTGTTTCTATATAACTGAGGTTTTTGTGATGGGAGTGAAAAAAAAAAATTCCTGCATGTGGAAAAAGCTAAATCCTGTAGCTTTCAATAAGGACCCAGATGGATTTTCCATTGGATTCATAGGTGTTGGGTCAAGCTGTATAGATCTGGGCTTGTGAATACTTAGCTTTAGTGTTAGAGCTCAAATGGAGCTACCTAGTGTTCCTTGATCTGTTCATGGGCATTCCTGCCCTGAATAAGCTCAGTCAGGACAAGGGAATCTTTCCAATTATACTGATGGATTATTTGTGTTTCTACATCCATATGATCTGGTTTGCAGATGTAGAAATGCAGCCTAGAGAAATGGCCACATGCTATTAAAACTGATAGTGTATTTTCAAGTGTTAACAGGATTAGTGTTAATTGCCTACAAGACTCATGGTGTGTTTTGTGTTTGAACTCTACTTGGGAAAAAACCCAAAACATTTCTAAGCCATAAAAGCTGCTCAGTGTAAATGAGCATCAGTAAGGCAAATACAGTCAATTTTTTTTGCATTTGATAGCTATCATCTGATGATATTTTGGAATTGTATTAATAGGCACAACACATGCATTTATTAATAAAGTGGTTATCTGCCAATATCACACAGGGAAGTATTATTTCACCAAATAAATCTTGGAGTTGCCTTGCATGCTCTTAGCAGAGTATTAAGGGTCATAGTTCTTGATTTTTGAAAACAAGATTTCCAAAAGCTAAGGAAAAATCCTTTTTGAACAGAGAGGCAGGGGTTGTGTGCACTTTATAGCACATTAGACTTCAAACACCTAAAAAATTAAAGCAAAGCTAGTGGACCTGATCATCATAAAGGCACACTATGGGCCTTCAGGAGGGGCCATGTGAGCAAGCAGTGACAACTGACAGGGGCTAAAAAGGCCCCTGCTAGTCCAGGCTGCCAACAGGGACCTCCCTGACCCCAGTCCTCCCAAGGGGAGAAAGTACCTCTGTTGCCCAAACCCTCTTCAGCGAATGCCATCTCTGTCTGGTGCCTCAGGGTGGAAGCTTTTGGCATGCCAACTTTGCTAGAGTGCTGTTGAAAATCAGTAGTAATTTCTTCATGTTTTGCAAACCACTGTGTTTCCAGGTCTCCCGGGACAGCTGAGGAGAGCCATCACCATGATCCCCACACTGCTGTTGCTGGGTCTTTCAGCTCTTGTTGGTGAGACAGGTTTGGGTTGCTGTCAAAAGCACACTGGGAATTGTTTGCAGAAGGGTCTTGGAGAGGGAGTGTGCAGTCAGGCCTGAGGCTCCCTTCCTGCATGGCTCTGAAAGATCCTGTGTGGCTGAAGGTCCTCAGCTGCTCTATGAGGCTGCTTGCTGCCCACACGTGTCTTTTAAACCAGCTCATCTGGAGGACGGGACTGAAACCAAGGGAGTCACAGACATGTCTCCTCTTGGCTTTCCCAGCTTACCTTATCCAATCTCCCTGCCTTCTCAGAAATGCTCTCACAAAAGTGGCAATCTGTTTGATGGAGGCTATTTGTTCTTCAGTTACCAAGGAAAGGGGGTAATTTTCTGAGACCGAGGCAAGCATTCTCCTGAATGAATTCCTCACCAAGTTATCGAGGGACACAGGAGACAATCCCAGCTAGGGTGCTCAGCTACCACCAGCCATCATCTCAGTGGTTCCAAGCACTGGGGGACATTGAGTGGGAACAGCCCTCTAAAATAAATGCAGAGGCTCTGCTTCTCCTCTCCCACACCAGCCTTTAGACCTAATGGAGCAGGTGCATATTCATCTAAATGGTCATTAGAACCCTTTGCTTCAATATTCAGTTAGAAAAGAACCAATTTCTGCTCTCTACCTTTCTTTGATAACATTACCGATGGAGAGCGGTGGCAACCATACAAGCAGGGCCACCACAAGGGGATGTGGATTGCAGGTCTAGACTCTCTCATGCTTGACTTGTATGCACGTGCAGGACTTGAACAAAACTGCTCTGAGATCTTATGTGCTCAAACACCTTCATTTAATATTTCAGCTCCCTCTGTGAGTTCCAGTTGCTATGGCGATATAAGAGCTGTACAAGTCCCCATGGTCTCCTGTACACGAGATCCTGCAAGATCCTCTGATTGTGGTATGTATCATTCATTGCTTGATTTGTCAACTTGTTTGTACCTGGCAGAGATATGCCTTACCTTCTGTTATTACCAAATTAAATGTGGTGCAGCTATTCAATCAGCCAAAAGGGAGAAAACGACACTTCCTCTCCCAAAATAGCTGGTGAAGCCTCCAGACCAGACGGGAAGTGGAAGGACAAATTTCCATAGTCAGGATCTTTGGACTCAAAGCAAAGGGAAATAGTTTCAACCCTTTTTAATTTAAAACAGCTTCTTCATCAGCCAGGATTTTAGCATCAGCCTCCTCACAAAGCCTCAGGGCTTGTCTGCTCCAAGGGTACCAAGGGTATCCAAGATACACAGAGCCAGGTCCTGAGTGCTAGCAAGACAGCTGAGCTGGCCAGTGCTGACCTGCCAGTAAGGTAAAGTCCCAGGTGTCTACCAGAATCTACCTCTGGTTGATTAATTTTTGGTAACTCCTTCACATTTCTCTCTTTCTTGCCTGCTGTTACTGCTTGGTGTCACCACGCAGCTGACTATGTCACATTGATTCTGATGATTATCATCATGCTGATATCTCCAGGGATTTTGCCATGTTCCTCAGATGTAGGCTCTTCCAAAGCAGACACCTTACTGTGGGTGTTCAAGCATAGATCTGAATCTGCTTGCTTGTTTCCAAACTGCTCCAAGTTTGCTTTAAAAAAGCTCCCCCTCTCTAGCAATAGAATATAGCTGTTACTGCAGTGTGGCCAGTCTGTAGTAACACACCCCCCAATTTTTTCAAATCCATTTTGAAACTTCACTTTTCTCACTCCAGAGGTGCAGAAGAAGAAGACGACCATGCATTCCACCCCCTAAGAATCCTCCCTGTTCCCCTGGTCATCCTTGGGTAGTGGAATAGCAGCTCCCAGGCCATGGTTTGAGCCAACAGAGCTGTGCTTGTTCCTCAAACTCCACTGCCCAACCTGATGGAGATGCAATTTCTTAAATACTTGAGTTACTCCTTTGACACACCTGCTCAAGGGAGAGGCAAGGGGTTTGGACAGGGGTGTGTGTAAGTCTGCCTTTTCCTACGCTGCAGGATATGCCATGATACAAAGGACTGCAGAGCCAGACCTCGTACGCCTGAGGAGATACGAGATCCCAATTAAGAGAGTAGCCAGAAATCTGTGCTTGGACCCAGCGCTCATCGGTGCCATCATGTCCCAGGACAGCCGTGTCGGCCTGCTCCTGGACAACGGCTGGGACCAGGGACGGCAGAAGTACGGCCTGATGCAGGTACTCCAGGGTGATAAGCATGAGCAACAGCACAGTAATGTAGTCCATACCCCAGGGCTTTATCTTAGCAAATGACTGTTCCATGTTTGAAAGAGCACTTTATTGCAATCCCTCTGCATCAAAGGCTGTGCTTAGGTGTTGTCCTGAATAAGGTCACTTCAATGAGTCAGAGCCTAGGAGTGCAATGAAGAGAGAGTGGCATTCAGAGGGAAATCCATTTTCTTGCTTGTCTTTCCTAGATCAGCAGGCAACTGCAACCTTATGCAGTGTGGGATAGTGAAGAACACATAAATCAAGGCTCAAATATGCTGGCTCTTTCCCTTAATGAAGTACGGGCAAGACATCCTACCTGGACTTGGGACCGGCAGCTGAGAGGTATGGAATGGGCTTTGTACTAGGAAGGGACAGACTGACTGATGGACTGATGGGAGTGCTGTGTGCTTGTTGGTGGCACTTTTAAGGGAAAAACAGCATCACTCTAGAAGATTTTACAGCATCTCTTACCAAAAAAAAAAAAAAAACCAAACACAAAAAAAACCCCCATAAAAACCTACAAAAAATCCCAAACAAACAAAAGAAACCCTCAAAGCCCTGAAATAACAACGAGAACAGAGTTTTCTAGTTTAACAGAAGCAGAACCAGACCAGCAGACTGGCAATGAGAAATGGCTGTTAGGTGGATAAATAAGATAGAAAGCAACTAAACAAAAGTCACTGGAGAATGCAGAAACTGAAGCATCACAACACAACAGGATTATTGTGGCAACTTGTTAAGTTGCATCCAGGAAGACTGAGATCAAGGTTTCCTTGTAGTCCATGCTATCTGTGTGCTGGTTTGTTCACCCTAGGCTATTTCTTACTCTCCCTTCCTTTCCCTGCTACTGCCCCTCCTTTGCTCTGATTACACCCTTTTCTGGTAACAGCTTTCCATTTCCACCTGCATTTGGAGAGAGTCATGGGCTCCTTCACTATAGCAATAAAGATTTTACAAAATCAGTCACTTTTCAACAATAATGCACAACTGGGACATTGTCAGGCAATTCTTGTTTGGTGAGATGCATGGCATTTTTTGCTACAAATTTTTGCTCTTAAATCTCTATTTCTTACTCACAAGCACATAACAATTCCTTCTTAACTCTTTCCAGGGGGTATCTGCACCTACCATGCAAGAATGGGCAACCTCCCTGTCTACGAGGCAGACCCATGCAGCAGAGACTACAGCTATGCCAACAATGTGATTAGGCGAGCCCAGTACTTTAAGAGACATGGGTTCTAGGTCGTAAACCCACCGAGCCTCCCCTCTGCAGACTGGCCCAGCAGTGATAGTAGTACCCAGAGCAGTTCCTCAGTCTCCTGGCAGGACTGATGCTGGTGGCATTACCAATGCCACCTTGCTGGCTCCAGCAAATCCCAGCCCCCGGCTTGCTGATGGGCAAGATCGGCACTGCCTTCCAGGAGACCCCCTAGGGATGAGATCCCACAAGCTCGGGGCCTTTGAAAGGCAGATGGGGACAGACCAGTTCAATGTTTAAATTATGAGCGAGGAAGGTGACTCTTCCCATTCAGAGCTGCACCTCAGGGCGGTTTGTGCATCTCCCAGACATGGAGACAAACAGCTCTCCCTGGGCATCAGCTGTGCTCTCCCCATCTGCGTCCACCTCCTTCCCTCTCCATGGCCAATGCAGGGGATGAACACCCTGTTTTCCTTCCCTTGGTGCTGCTGGCTAAGGAGCAATGAAGAGACTTCTCGGTGAGCCTTTGGTCTCCGCAGTAGCAGTTTTCCTGTAGCCAGCCTTGAGGGAGACAATATTAAAACATGCTTTGGTTGGTCTCCTGAGTCCACGGCCATGATGCAACTGTGGAGCTCATCAGGGCATCTATATGGAAAATACTGCAAGTGCCACAGCAGGCAAAATGCCTTTCTGTCAGAGAGCAGCCCTTGGAGCAGGAGTTAGCCCCATGCATACCCATGCCGGGAGCTGTATCACAGCAATAGTTTTGGTAAAAACCCCCACAACCTTTCCTGCCTTAGCTTTGGCACATTTATGCTGAGTTTCCTCCAAATTTAAAAGCATTTCAACATCTGTCCCTCTGCCAGAATTCCCAGTTAGTAAAAGAAGTGAATGAGCTCTGGTCTGTTTGAAAGTGGATGGGTCTCTCGGTGCCAATTTATTAATTAGAGAACAAAAATGAGAATAAAATAGAAATAAAGATAAGTGTTAAATCCCAACATTTATTTTTTTCAGTTTCATGGGGCTTGGTGGGTAGCAATCTACTTGAGTAAATAACCCCTTTGAGTACTCTTGGAAGGGGTCTAAAACTCAGTTTGAGAACAGGGAGTGAATAATGGTGCTGCAGACTGGATAGGTCAGAAGAGCTAGGCCTGAGCCTGCCTGCTGACCCAAACTTGTGAACATGGTAATAGGAATATTCACATTTCAAATTACCATTTTGGAGGTGTCAGGGTACTTTTCTTCCAGCTGCCACCATTGCTGATGCAGAAGTGATGTGCCTGGCAGTCCTTGCTGGCAGCAAGGGGCAGTGCTGTGCGTGTGCCTGGGCTGCTAGGCAGGGTCAACACGGGCAGCATGAGAGCTGAATTGCAGACAGCTTTTGCAAGCAGAGCAATTTTAATGCTGCTCCCCTTGTCTTTCCAATCACTCATCTGCTTACCATCATAGCAAGAACAGCATAATTAGCATATGTTACAAGCAAACTAATTTTATCACCTCTGGAGACCAGAGGGAACCATTGGTTGTCTCAAATGTCACCGATTTTTTTTTTTTTTTAAGACTACCATAAACAGTTCAGTGTTGAGCAACCACAGATATTGAGCTATATTTTATTTAGTCTTTAGTGAATTCTGAACTATATTATAATTTCACTAAAATCATTACTTTGTAATACAGACTTATGAAATGTATCACATGGTTGCCTACTTGACATAACTTATGTAAAATTCATAGGATGAAGCCTTTAGTGCATTATGTTATGTAAACCTCTGTGTTACATAAGCCTCTTATGTAAAGCCTATGAATGAATTTTTTGGTAGATGAGTATAAACTTCAGATGGGGCAGGGAATCTCATTGCTGCCTCTGTGTGCAAAACTGGGGGTTGAGTTCCAAGGGCGAACAAGAGTGGAGCTTTCTTTGGTTGCCTTCATGTCATCCTCAGTCACTGCCAGCAAGCTCCTTGTCACCACTACTGGTGCTGCCAGCCCTGCAGATCTCTGAGCTCCTCAGGAGTCCAATTTGTGCAAGTGTTACCTATGAAGCTGCTGCTTCATGTTGTGGTAGCATAGCAACACCCAAGGACCTGCCTGCTGAGTTGTGCAGCATCACCACAAAGGATAATTTATATTTTAAAGTCTATTTAAAATTCCAAGTTCTGAAAATTCCATATTTTGTTCCAAACGTTGTTTTAGGGTATCAGCACTTTGTAGTGAATACAGAAAATCTCTGCAGAAAATGAGTTAAAGCTTGATAAATTGGTAGGAAGGAGTAAATAATTAAGGAAAGTTTAACAGTAGCATGCTGCCTCAAATTGTGAGCAAGTTTCCTGACAAATAATGAGCTCAAATTGTTGTTCCCTTCTGATCTTTTTCTAGTCATGTTACTGGAAGTTTTTTTCTGCCTGATGTAGACAGAGCAGATGCAATCACACTCTTGGTCACCCTTTTGATCCATGGCCTAGTGAAAAAAAACAAAACCAAAAACAATAGACATCTTGCAAAGCAAATGATCCAATACCAAGTAACACATCAGAAAAAGTGGAAGCACAGGCAAGGAAAAAGAAAAGCCACATCAGAGGGGAAAGAAAGGTCCAGGGAATCAAAGACCAAGACTCCTGCCTGAAACATTGAGGAAGGTGCTAGAGTAAAGGATTGAATAGTTCCTTCAAGTGATCCAGTGGGACAACAAAGCAGCAAGAAACTGTAAGGAGGGTTCTGGCAGCCTGGCTTGGCAGGGAAAAACCATCTCAGATCAATTAAAATCTTTATCTAATGGGATCAGTGGTCAAGAGAGAAGCCATGGTTGTGCCATATCATGCCATGCCTGTTGCACCAACAAAAGTATGCTCAGGACAATCACAACCCTGATGGAAAGTATAGCCTATGGAAATAGAGAATTAGAATTTTTTTTTCCCAAAAAAAATAAAGAGAGAAAGCACAGAGTTATGATTTTCTAATATGCAAAATAAATTAAGGGCAATGACCTACATCCTTCCATTCCCTCTGAGGGTAAGACAAATAGCAGTGAGTTTAGCAGCAGATTTGTTGGATACTTTAAAAAAAAACCTTTCAGGATAATAAAGCAATGCAACATTTCCTGGGTGTTTTAAATAACATTCAAGACCAACATGTAAAAGTAGCTGTACATCATATATAATCACAGAATGGTTTGAGTTTCAAAGGATCTTAAAGATCACCAAGTTCCAAATCCTCTGCCACAGGTAGGGACACTTTTCACTAGACCAGGTTGCCCAGGGCGCCATCCAACCTGGCCTTAAACACTTTCAAGGATAGAGCATCCCATCCACAACTTCTCTGGACAACTTATTCCAGTGCCCCTCACTGTGAGTGTTCACAATAACAAATTTCTTCCTAATATCTAATCTAAACCTGCTTTTTTGCCGTCATATTTTGTAGAGAGGGGAAATGCAATAGGTGTTGTTTAAGGACCTTTCCAGGCTAACACTGCCGAATCAGAGTCAGCAGTCAGAAAATGGAAAACAAATTACAGACACTGAAGAAAACCTTTCTCTGTTGGGGTCCAGTGATTTGGTTTTACAACTGATGTTACTACTGGGAAATCTATTTAAATGTGCTTCCTACAATAGAGAGCAAGTGTGAGGTGGAGTCTTTCTCTCTCATCAACTTGTTAAGCTGCAGGTGGGATGGGCTGATCCCTCCGTGGCTCAGGCAGGGATCTGCTGGGAGTCTGGAGCTGCAATGGCTGGCTTTCAAAGAAACCAGGCAGAGGGACCAATTAAATTAATTACCTCTTTCAGCAGTAACTGAAGCAGCAGGAAAGCAGTGTCAAAAGCAAGGCCCTGTTGGGTCAGAGCCCTAAGCCACGTGGGAGAACAGATTTTTTCCAATGGTTGATTCCAAATGCTGCAGCTGGGTCTGTTTGAGCCACGTGTCCATGTCTCTCTCTGAGATATGCTGAAAACAAAGGGAAACACAAGCACATCAACACAGTGCTGAATTACTGTGTTTGTTCTGCTTTGTTATTCATTGCAAAACTGGGATGGGATTTCCTAGCCAGCAACTTGTCCCCAGGATAGCACATCTTACATTGCCCAGGATGGGCACCAACCTGTGGTCCCAGGGACTCCTATGGAGCTAATGCTGCAGCTGGGGGTACCTGTTTCTAATACTTGCCTCAGTTTATTTAATTGCCTTCCTTGAAACTGAATACTCCCACATTGGATGCCCAGGGTCTGCTTTCTCCCATTTCAGTGTTAAAAGAGATCATGTTGTAGGATTGCAACCCCAGAGCAGTTTTCCACCACCATCCCTCAAACAAAATCCTCGCGCCTCTCTCTAGCATTTGTTTCTGTGGGTTCCTCAACCAGCTCATCCTAAAGCAGGGATTTATTGCAACCAAAAATTCTGCTTCTGCACCTCATCCTGATGAGGCACTGATCCAGCCAGTATGCAGGCTCCCACTCATGCCAGCAGCCCACATTTACTGCTCCTCTGGCCTCACTGACCACTCCCACAGAACTCAAAAAGGGTAGTACAGTTCTACTACAGCGTTTTTATCAGTAGCAACTGGGATTTCCACCCACAGGTTTTTAGGGTGCTTCTCTTTTCCTGTTTTTAGATATTTTTTATATTTTTATGCTGTAACGTTTTTATCCTTCACATCCAGAATCACTCCTCCACCTCTACATCCTACTCGGTCGTTCCTGTGAGGCTGGCAGTGCTGTATCTCATTGGTGTTCTAGCCTCCACTAAGTCTCTGAGACACCTTCTGTCTCAGGGTTGTAATTTGGTTCAGGATTTTAGGTTCTGGCTTGATTTTGAAGTCTCTAGCAACTGTACAAAACTGTACAAAAACACTTGTAAGTTTATCTTTGCTTTGTTGCTTAATACTGCATGTGCCAAATCCTTGCCACTGTATTCTTTCTATTTTGTCTTCCTCATGTATCGTGATCATGCTGTTTATTTCCCTCGTGGTTTTTTTCAGAGGTAAACTGAATGTCAGCCTTGTCCACCTTGCAGATCACAGGAGTTCAAACTGGATACTCCTCTGGATTTGTCAGCTTTCCCCTGCTTCTAGTGGAAAAGTTCCTCTAAAAGCTCTTCAATTTCCAGTGACACGGGTTGTCTATGCCACAGCTCAGGTGCAGCCTGCCCCTTCTACGCTGCACCTCTCATCTATGCTTTGTCAGTTCCTCACATGTCTCAACCATCTACAAATCCCTGCATTTCACTATGAGGGAAAGGCTGTCAGCTTGCAGCCTCAGGACACAGACCTTCTTCCAGCATCCAGAGCACTGTGCCATCCTAACACGGGCTGGGTAACCTCTCACAGCTTAAATGGGCTTGATTGCCTTGGGAAGCTTATGTCAGCTTAGTTTCTCCCCTGAAAGCATAACTAGGATCATTCATTTCTTATGCACCCTTTATTAAGCTAATTAACAATTAGGAGAAATGTTCAAGAGCATGAAGAAACCCACACAGTGAGGATGTGGCTGACCTGAGACTCTACTGCTGCAGCCCTCAGTCTTCCACAAACACTCAATTTCCAAGAAACGGAAAGGTTTCTTGTTCCAAAGCAGGCAAGGAGAAATTTGACTCATTTCTGTCCTTTAAATCAGGTTTTATTTTATTGATTCCCTGCTTATTCAGCCACCTCTTAGCTGATTCAGATCAAGAAACTAGCAGTTTTCAAAGGGGTTTGGGTGTTTGCATGGTTACAGAAATCAGAATTATAGATTCCTGTCATAATAATAAAAATCCTGGCAACATATTTTTTCCTTTCCTCTAGAAATGAAGACAAACTCTAAAAAGGCACAGCTGCATGCCTGAGCCATAAATGCCATATAGAGGACCAGATTATCCCACAGATGTTTGCCCTGAACCATTTAATTGCCATTTAATTCTTCCTTCCTGTCAGACACAGGAGAGGAAAAAGTAGCTGGTCCTAGATTTGGTCCAGTGCTCTGCAGCCTGGATTCTGGGTAAACCAAATTGTCCCTTCCCTGCAACTCTTGTGATCAACGAAGAGCTGCTTGCTAATTGATAATGGATATTGAATGGATCAGTGTGCCCCTTGCTATATCTGCTATAGGTGGATGACATACACTTATCATATGTACAAGATATTTCAGTAGCAGGGCTGTCAGGTTGCTCTGTATGAAGGCTGAAGAGCTAGCTGTGTGTAAATAAAAACCCAGGGAATTCAGGTGAAACTGTCTAGGTGTGGCAAAGGAGGTTTGTACAGAGAATATGGACAGGGAATAAAGTTGCTCATGGTGAAAGTGCTTCAATTACTGTGATGTAGAAGAAGCAAACTAGTATATCCTTTATGTTTCTGCCCCAGAAATAAGGGAACAGTAGCACAGACCATTTGGAGATTACTAGTCTGCGAATCACCTTTGGTGGTATTTTGAATTTTTTAAATGTTACTTGTTTTGAGCCACATCTGTTCTATTCTCCTTCCTGCCAGATGTGCTTGCCTCTGTTTCAAACTTCTTTACATTCAGTCATAATTGTGAGTGTGAAGAGCCCCATGCCTGAGCTGCTGTGATTTTTTGCAGCTGGTTCTCTATGGGAGGTATCAACAGTACAGCAAAAACTTAAAGAATCTCTCAGTGCAATGACACGGGACAAATTCCCCCGCTAAAAATGTAGAAGAGATGCTGAAAGAGCAGAACAACATTTCACACCCACATAATCTACCATGGGGGAGAAGCGGGTCAGGATACATTCTGCCGCGGGAGTTCTGCCATCCGGTGGTTGTTTTCCTTACTGCTGCACAGCTACAGTAGCTTTGAAATTCATCCTCACTGCCTGCTAATTTGGGGTTGTTGACCTTTGTTGTCTCTGTGCAAGAGGGGATAAAAACAGGGGCCTGGCACAGTCTCTGCATATCCGAATTCTCAACAGTTGCAGCTCTGGTCATGTTATTGTTCCTGGAACTTTGCCTGCAAAAATTCGATTAAATCCAGAAGCGCATTTTCCCATTGTCAGCGTGTTATTGCTTCCAAGAACTGAAGAGGAGCAGTTGTTTTCAGACAAGGTTCCTCCTAGTTCCAAACTTAGTAATGGGACTTTAAATTAAAGCTGTTGCATGTTTCAAATTCTAATTGTGTTTTTGCTGTAGAACAGAATCCGTGTTATGTTTGGGAGGATGCACAAGTTGTTAGGTGTTTCTGCTTCTCGTAAGACCAGTGGGGGTGGGAAGTGCACTGAGCCAGCTGTTCCAGAACACTTCCAGCAGACAGGAAAGCCCATTTGTCTCCAGGAAGCGCGTTGAGAAATGTGGGGAGACAACCTGCAGCAAACATGTCAGTTCTATGATCTTTGTTTAATATTCTTGTAAATGAATCACTGTACCAAAGTCTGTTTTCCATTAGGTGTTAGCATTGCTCCTCTCAGTTGATGTTTGCATGTTTTCCTTCCTGCAATGGTGTGTTAAGACAACAGATAAATGGAGATAAATTGCAAGTTGAACAATCTGCAAGTCAGATAAATTGTAATGGGTATAATTGAAGGATGCTTCTCTTTTATTTTCTTGTGCTATGGAAAAGCAAGCTGGAGCCAGTAAATAGCGTAGGATTTCAATTGACTTTCATCTTTTTCTCTTTACTTTTTTAAATTTTTTTTAATAGAAAACCTACCTTTTTAAGATGCCTTCCTCCACTGGCCATGCAGGCAGCCCAAGACAAGCTTAGAATAAGACAGCTAAGTTTTAGGTAATTAGGGGAGATAAACTGGACACAGAGCACCAGTTCACCTCACGAGGTACACGTGAGCTAGCATGACCAAGAGGTAATTCCCTCCAGAGCAGGCCATACACACCATGACTGCATCTGCTAGCACAAACACCTGCACTAGTATCAAAAGGATGCCATGGGTTTCAGTCATGGATCTGAAAGCACTTTAACAGCATGAGTCACACATTGCATTGGCCTGACAACTGGTTGTAAATACTGCTCTGTGCTGGTTTCAGCTGAAACCAGCACGTGCTCTTATGCTGTTCAGAGCGTTATGGGAATATACTGAATGTTGACACAACCGGAACTTTGGAGGCAACTGTGAAACCAGACAGTCTGAGCTGATGGTAGGCACTAATTCAGTCGTTCACTCTACCCTTACACCCATGCACAAGCTCATGCCTATTATACATCCTGGTCTCTGTCAGTCATTGCCAAGTAAGCAGATTTTTTCACAATCAACGAAGATCCTACTTGGGCACGTACGTTTATGCTGGGAATTGAGCTGACTTTGAGATGACATTTAAGACCATCGCAGAAAAAATGAAAGTCTGCTGGGTGCATCCAACCCCTGAACCTACTTTTCTCTCACCATTGAGAGTTTCCGCAAAACCTGAACTTCTGAACATTTCTCCACTACTGTCCTAAATTAAAAGACTAAATCTGCGACTAATCCACACAAAGGCTTAGATTTAAAACAAGATTCACCTCACTCTCAATCTGCATGCTAGAGAACTCCATCTGAATCTGAAGAAAAAATTATTTTATATCATCTGTGAATTGATTTCTAAGGCAACCTTCAGTAAAATTAGTCAATTCTATCTTTGTTTTACTCTAAACAGATTCAGAAGGATTTAAAATGTCAGCTCAGCCATAATGACCTTTAGAAAATCTGTGTTTAGATTCTAAAAATGAAAGGAAAAGCAATGCATTTCATACTGTAGGAGTTCCTATCTCAGAGAAGACAGCAGAACAACATGGAGAAATACCATGCCAAGATGGCAAAAGCTGGCAACTGTGAGGGTTTTGCTCCAGCTGTGATTGATTGCTGGTATTATCTCTTGAAAAGAGTCACATGCTGGGGCAGTGCTGAAAGATGGTCTGGGTGACCATGAGAATGCATTTGGCCTAATGCAGGTATGGTCAACCTTCTTAAAAACACAAATCTCATCCTTCCTTTAAGGCAGTCAGAAGAGTGGCAGGGGCCCTGTTGAAAGGCAACCCCCTAAACCTTTTCAGCCAACTCTTTGGCCAGGCTAAGGCCAATGCTGACCAGACTGCCTTTACACTGTGAAACTTATGACTGCTTCCCAGCACTCCCGTGAGACTGAAGAGATTAATTGTTCCTATTTCACATTTAGATAATAAGTCTTGTTTCAAAAAGCACCTTTTTAACTGAGCATGCTGTAGGCTGCAGCTACTACCATCAGGTCACTTTATGCACCACAGGGGCCTGGCTAGTGGGGAATCTTGCTTAATGAAGCATGATTCATGCCTCCATTTGTGCCTAACTTGTTTGCCAAGCTGGATCCTTATCTGTAAAATCCCTAAACATTTGTTGCATGCATAGGATCTGCTTTTGTAACAGCTCCAGCCCCCTTAGACTTGTGCTTTACTACCTCATGGATTAAGGGGAGGAGAGGAGCAGCCACTTTGCACCTGGAAAGACTATGAACCAGAAGCAATCCAGTTATCTACATGCTATCACCTTTACAACAGCTGTTATTTTAAGGGTCTGACAAACAGTAGGGCTGGCATTCCTCCTCAGTGCCCAGACGTCTGCCCTTCACACATCTGCTGGCTTTGCCTGTGCTGTGAGAAGTGCTTGCATCCTCTCCATACAGTCACAAAAGAGGTAAATCCTGATATTAAGGACCAAAATGAACACAAGCAGCCTGTAAGCAACAAAGAACTCTGGATAAATAGTGGATAATAGTTCTGGTGTGGTCATGTTGCTGTCTCACTTTCAGGCTGGCAAAGAGTTCCCTAAGATTGGATAACCATGGAACACTGAAGAGCACTTAGCCCAAGACATAGAGATTTTATACTGGATGATAAATGCAGAAAAGCTTCCCCAGCTTGGACAAAGAAGGTCACCTCAGAGGTTGAGTTTTTTCAGCTTTTAAACACTTCACACATATAAAGTCAAGCATGATAATGCTGCAAGCGCTGCTGAAAGGTAAACACATTCCAGTCCCTATGTTCACATGGAATAATATTCCTTAGTATGCACTAAAAGGAATAGAAGAAAAAGATTAGCCTTCTAGCAGGTTTTTTTTTGAAACCTGGCAAATACCATGACATTTTTCAATTGCAAGGAACAAGGGTGGGCTTTCCTCCTCCTCTCTCCATTCCATTTGTTTTGTGGTTCTATACCCACCTACAAAAAGCAACCTATCCTGGTTGCCTTTCCTGGCAACTCTGAAGTACTATTTACTGATGAAGTAGCACCTCTGCTTACATTTTTCTTCCATCCTCATTCCAGGTGGCATCTCAGCCTATAATGCAGGAGTTAACACTGTCCACACCTACAACAAAATGGATATTGGCAAAACACACAACTATGCCAATGATGTGGATGTGAGAGACAGGTTTTGTAAGACAAATGGGTATTGAGATCTCTGAATAATGATTATATTTGAGGCCCCAATTGCATACTTTACTTCTAATTAAGAACATTCTGGATTTATCCTCCCCAGAAACAGCAAAAATGGGGGAGGATAATGAAGCCAGGAACAAGTACAAACTTGCAGTGGGGTTTTTTTACAGCTAAGGCTAAAAACGTAACTTAAAAGATAACACGGCTCATAATCTAAACTGTAACTTACCTTTTGCCTTTTATTTTTCATCTTACTTCATGAGAAGTAAGATTTTTCATCTGTGCCTGCAGTTTCTCAAGCAGCAGATAATGCTGCAAGGAAGTTGTAACACTACTTAACAAGATTTTACCCACCTTACGTTTTATCTGTCGATTCACATGTCTAACAGTTGTACAAAGCAGCAGCGCTGGCCACTGAGAGAGGCTGAGCTGTCCCTGTCAGAGGCTTTAAAGACCCAGCTGGACAAAGCACTGAGTAACCTCATCTGACCTCAGTGCTGGCTCTGTGCTGAGCAGGAGGTTGGACTAGAGACCAAAATGGTACCTTCCAACCTGAATTTTGCAATCACCTTCAGTCAGTCTGTTTGTTCTCTACACAAAAAGGCAGTGTCTCTTATCTGCTTCATAAAGATCTACATGGAGCATTAAAAAGCTCCATTACTGAAAGAATGTGGACACACACCGTGTTTGTGTAACCCGCTGGTTCAGGTTTTAGGGTTGAGAGCAAATCTTTAGAGAATGTATGGTCATACAGAGAAGGTTTGGAATAGCAGACTAACTCCACAGGAGTGGAGGCTCTTGGGGGAAATACCATTTCAGAAACACCCAAACATACACTTATATTAAAAAGTTAAAAAAAAATACAATTTTCTTTCTCATTGGAACTGTCAGCTTGTCAATTAAACACCTCTGTAAACACCTCTTGTAGCTGAATCTTACTCAGAAATAACAGGTACTATGTATTTTCCCTTCTCTCTATGTGGGAGCCTGCTATTAGCTCTGCTTTAGCTTCGACTGTTTATCAGACACTTGAAGCTGTGAACTCTACCATGCCTTTTCATTAACACAGTCCCTCCGGGATACCCTGCAGCACTTTTGTAGGCTGCAGCGTCAGAGATCCATATGCATATCCATATGCAGAGCGTATGGGATGGAGCTGGCAGAGCCCTCTGCTGGAAGCTCCCCAGGCTGCAGTGCCATGGACACGAACCCTCAATGCACCTGACAAGGCTGAGCCAGCCTGGCTCTGGTGCTCTGGGACACTGATCCAGGCACAAGTCTTAGTATCTGCTATCCACTAGCAAGATCCATTTGCCCAGTGTTTTGTGTCCTAGTACTTGCACCATCTCTTTAAAGAATGCCCTGTGCCTTGGATGTACTACACGTCCTTCAAAAGGGCTCAAATTCCAGCTTGTACCTCCCTGTGGAAATACCATCAACACCTTGCAGACTGCAGTTACAACACACTGCAGCACAAGATGCTGTGCAGATGCTGGAAGAAAGGAGAGAGGTGAGAAGAACATCATTAATTTAGCTGCTTCACTTTTTCCATGCTATTTCAGCTCAAATTCTCATTTCTGCCTTCAGCCTGGCCACAGGGGCCATTAGACTCCTCAATGCCACTACCACAGCCTATCTTTTTCCTTCTGCACAGCACCTCCAGCTTTTGTCCCTGTACTATCTCTTCCTTTGAACTCCTACAGGTGTTTCCTCTTCTCTGCAAGCAGGCAGAAAGGATAAACACTAATTTTCAGTGACTGCATCCCTCTGATGTTCTCGCAATATGCAGTCATTAAGATTAACTCCTCTTCAGTGTGTCTAATGTGGGAGAGGCTCACAGTGTGCTAAATTACAGAATTTATCCTGGCTGGAATGCAAACTACTTTATCATTTGATACAGCAGCAGCTTGCTAACTTTAGCCACAGTTCTTAAAACTGTAAATAAAACTACACACATAGTAGTATTTTATAAGCTTGCAGCCCATAATTCTAACTCACATCAGAGGTTTCCTTCAGGGTCTCTACACTTCTAATGTCTGCCATTTTAGAAAAGGAAAAGGAAAAGCATTAACTTTCAAACAGACTGCAGCTCTTAGGCTAATCTTACTGAACACTTAGGATCAGTATAGGGGATATATATGAAGACAGCAGGTTTCCTGAAATTAGACAACAAACCAAGAGGTGAACAACTCCTGTTATTCCCAAATGGAGAGTTCACATGCTTTGTAAGCTACAGAACAAGCCAGATGACAGACTGATTGCTAGGGAACAAGTGTGAGATCTGGATAACCATGGTAAATCACTCTCTGTGGACAGCGAGTCAATTCTGACGTGACTACTAAACAGAGGGCTTTTCAATTCCAATTCTAATTCCCTCTGCTGTGCAGTGAAAGTTCTGCAGTACTGCTGTAAATCTTTACTGCTAGCTGTGAAATGTCCCCACCATCATTAGCTAGATCTATTCTATTCACTTCCCTGCTTATTTGACTTTATAAATTAAGTTCAATTACAGTTAGCCAAAAACTGCAGCAATCTAGCCACAAAATTAAAACACAAAGACAGAGAGCCTATAATTCATTTAATATTTCAGGTAACTATTAACAACATTGAATTTCACATCTGTACACCTGCAATTCTTCTTTAGGCATCAATATCACCTTTGACATTCATATCAGAGTAAGAATTTTTACATTTCATACACAAACTCTTAACTGGGGATTTAAAGTACTTATTTTATAAAATCTAAATCCAACCAGCACACCCTATGACTTAATTTCTTTCTGCTCCACAGGTTTCAGGCGCGTTTTAATGACAAGCTCTCCCCTGTTTGTCAGAAAGGTGCTGGAAATTTCCTCTTCTGTTGGCAGTCCATGGGGTAGTTTCAGTGGCTGTATTCTACAGACAAAAAGAGTCTGCTTAGTGAAGTCCTGTGACTAGAAGAGAGTTACATTAAATGTTCCAAATAAACAAATAGATATACAAATAGTTAACAAACCTTATCAGATGTTTAACAACTTTCAGTCTGGAATTCACAGAAGGGATATTTTTGTGCAGTCTTGGCTGATGTGCCTACATAAGGGATAAAACAAGTTTTACAAATGTGTTTCCAAATCCCAAATCTTTGTTCACTGAACTTTGCACACTACCAGTAAAAAAATAAATCACATTTGCAAATGTGGTATTTAGAGAACTGCCATGCATCAAAAACATACATAAAAATATGCAATCAAAATTTGATTTCAGGAAAAAGACAATTTCAGCTTTATTCCTATTTCACTATAAATGTATTTTTCTTCCAACTGTTAAAAATACTACAAATGTACATACAAGAGTTTAGGGGCAAAACTGCTTTCTTCAGTTCTATCTTAAACTGTTCAAGCACACATTTCTTTCTCTGTAATATAACAGTGACTAGACAAATCTTTGCAGTTAGCCCAAATATCTTGGATAAACACATCTTTGACACAAACTTTTAGAGTCTTAAATTTGGAAGCATTTTCATTGATAAACAAATTTTATTTTCCTTCCTACAATTTCTGAATAACATGACCCACAGAGACCTGAATTCAAAATATTTACAAACCTATTTCTATTATTTTAGAAGAATTCTCAGGGTAAAGTTCTCCTCAGGCAATGTAGCACAATACCATACAGGGATATTTTGAATTCCCATTAAAAGCACATTTGCCACAAACATTCCTCTCAGCTCTTAAACACATCATCACCTTCTCAGACCGCTTTATGGCTGCCATAAATGTAATTCTGGTTTGTGACTGTGAAATGGAGGCTCTTGTAAAACCCATCACATTAGTGCAACATTTCTGACATAGGCAAATATAAAGAACAACAATCTTACTTTATCTAGTCCCAGATCACGTATTATCTTCTTTTCCCAATATGGGCGACCAATGACACTTTTTATTCTAGTAATAACATGGATTTTGTGGGGATCCTCAGGGTCACCTCCATACTTTTCATGATCACCAGGCCGTGGCTGAAATACCTAGAATAAAAAGTTCACAAAACCAGAGGTTTTTTCCCCAAATACCTGGCCATCAGTACTGCAGTTTACTGTCCAAAACATGCTTCAACCTTGGTAAAAATTCTTACATATTTTTCTTTTCAGGCTGTCAAAGCACCAACAAAGTAACCTCAAATTTAGGTTTTACAACATGAAGTCAAACTTATTTCTATAATGGTTTGCTGATAGATATAGTAACTCTTGAGTTTAGCCACACAACGGCATAGAAATACATGGACAACACCCAGTACCAGCACAACACCTAATTCACGTGCATTTTATCAAGGAAAACGATAAAAGACTGTGCTCAGCCTCTCGATGGCAAGTTTCCCACAGGTTTTAAGAAACATTTTAGGGAAAACAGTCAACTAACACTAGATGGTACCTCGCAAATATAAACTAAAACTTTAAATGTGAAAATGTAAAGTGCAAGTGAAGCACATACCGAGTCTGGAATTCTCGACCTGGTAAAGAGACAACGAACCCACACTGGGGACATAATCCCCTCCGTCCTCTTCCCCAGCACCTGCAAAGAGAGGAGGGCATAATTTGTCTGCACTTTCCTTATAACTCTGAGCACTTGCGAACAGACGACACAGCTACGAGTGCCAGCCCCACCTTCCCAGCGGCTGCGGAGCTCCGAACAGGATCCCCAGCTGGATCAACCCCCACGAGACCCAGCCTGGATCGCTTTCCCGGAATCCTATCTGCATCCCCACTTTCCCGGAGGCTGCAAGCCTCAGCCCCAGCCTAAATCTCTCCGCGGCTCCTCCCTTGGATTTTCCCATACAGCCGATCCCCACTTCAGCTCCTCACCTTCCCGGGGCCTGCAAGCCCCAGGCCCGCCCGGCCCGCCGCGACCGCCATGTCGGTGCGCACCCTTCTGTGTCCCGGCCGCACAGAGGTGCCGCGGCACTTCAGTTCCGAGCGGGCGGAAGGACAGCGGTGCGACACCTCCGCTCCGTGTCCCCGCCCGTCCCGCTCCCATCGCCATCC